TTAATAGAATTTTAATTATATAGGATAGTATATATTTATTTAATGTCCTATGAAATTAATAATGGCTAAAAATAATTAAATAAGACTTTAGGGATTTTTCTAGAATTTTCTAGATTTTTCCGAGCATTTTCTGCAATTTCCGGCGACCTTCCGGCGAGTTTTCCGGTCGCCGGCAGTGGGGGAGACGACCGGAGTGATCCGGTGCGACGCGGCGCACCATAGGAGGGTGTACGCGCGCATCCTGGCCATTAGTGGAGTCTGATTGATCCGGTGCATCGCGGTCCATGATACCGCGGTACACCCGGATCCGTGGACGTTGGATGGAGGAGATGTAGGTGGATTGATCCGGTGTGGCGCGCACGTAGGAAATCTGATGCAACCGACCAACCAGCACACGCCGCGTCAGCAAGGCACCCCTAGTGCGCGCGTGGCAGCGCGTGGGACTCTCCAAACGCGCGTGGGAGCGCGTGCGGGCGCGTGGCTGATGCCAGACGCGCGTGGAGGCGTGTGGGAGAGTGGGGAAAGCTTGGCTGCGCGTGGGGAGGCTCTGGGAGGCGCGTGAGGGCGCGTGTGGGGTCCCTACAGCTGCTGGAAATTACCAGAATACCCCTAGGGCCTGTTTTGTAAATTCCAGAACCTTAAACTTGGATTTTTAGGTGCTGTGTTGGTAATTACGGGTTTAACGGGCCACGAAATTATTATTTTAACACCCGTTACTTATTCTTATGGCCGATTAATCTTTTCTAAGCATTTATTGGCTCGTTCGCAGTACGGATACTAATGTGAATTATTTAAACGACATTGTTAAATATAAATAGTGTTATTATCGTATTTAATGGTATCAAACATTACTGTTAAATTAAATAAGGCCATGGTTTTAATCAGATAAATTATCCATGATATCTTATAGGATGTTTATACTGTTAATTGATATATAAACCATGAATATTATGCTGTGTGCATTTCAGGAAATAAATGGACTGTTTAATTATGTCGCATTTATATTATATGGATGTGTTGCCATATAGAACCATATGAGCTGGCTAATAAGTTTAGACTCATTTATTCCTTATGCATTCGTTGCGATAGACAGATGTGTGGCTGTCGGGGTATGTGGTTTAATATTATTGGCATGTGTTGCCTAATTGACATACTCGGTATATTTATTAATATTGTTGGCATGTGTTGCCTAATTGATATGCTCAGTATATTCATCAGTACTTTGCGAGGTGTTATCACTGTGTAGTTCGTTGTAGTCTGTGTTGTCAGTACCGTGCACCATGTATAATAGCTGATTTCCCGGGTAGGGAAAGGCGACACTTGACCACCTAGTGTGAGTCTAAGTGATCACCGTCTATTCTGGTTGAGGTCATGTTATACATTGGATAGTTCCCATAGGATGTATACAGATATAGTACTCATCCGATTCATAATGATTAATTTATTTGATTCTCTGATTTGGGTCATAGTAGAGAGGACTTGCTCGTGGGGTTGACCCACCATTGTTGTTATTTCAGGATACGGTCAGTATCCGTTTCAAGGCTGAGGTTAGCCGTGTGGGACCATCATCCGAACTCATCTACTCCTACGATCCAGTGCAGGGTAGAAGTTTTATGTAGTATTTCAGTTTCAGTTTTTATTTACTTTTGACGTTGAACTCTCAGGGTTATATTTAGGGATCCCTGACGTAGGATTTCCAAGTTGTAATGAAGTACTGTATTAAATAAAGGATGGATGGATGTTGTATTATTTAATGTTTCTTTCCTGTCTAAATTCTTTTATTTCCATCATTTTATATTCCATGCTTGTATATTGCCAATTATTTTTGATATCCCTCGTTTTTCGTGTATAAGCCTGATCAACTTATGCGTGGGAAATGTGGGGGTGTTACAAGGATGGACACGGACTTTATATACTTATTATAAGGTACCATGGTATGAGCTTAAGTCTCAGGACCATGGTTAGGGTGCATATATCGCCTAGGATGGATAGCTGGACAGAGGTGTTGTTCCCTGGTAGGTCTAGGTACACATGACCACGTAATGTACGATTTACATGGTATCTCTACTCAGGCTGAGACAGACCTATTAAACTAGTGAGCGTCCTATAGTGTGTAATATATACATATATGGACTACTCTAGCTATTGTTGAATCTATTTAGGATGTATCTGCGTATCGAATTCCTGTTTGAATCGTAGTAGATCAGGACTTGCATGTGGGCCTGACCCACTCTTTTATTTTTCAAGTGCTCATCAGTTTCAGGGTTAGAGCTTAGTCATGCAGAGCAGATACAGACTTCGATTCCACCGACTACGTAGGACTGCTTACTTTTTAGCTTTGGATCGTATTTCAGTTATTTCATTTGCAGTTAGGATTTTTATTAGGGGTCCACTAGATGGATTCCTGAGTTGCTAATTAATTGGAGGTTTTGGAATTTGGATTTAATTAATTATATTTTGAGGATTTTTCATTAGAATTCATTTAAGCTATTATTATTTATTTCTTATACTTTAAATTTTGTATTCTGTGTTCGCATTACATATTAATTGTTTGATATTTTCCTCGGATTTGGGCCTGGGCCTAATCAACCCATGTTTCGGATCCGATGGGTATCACACTTATTGCTTAGGTATTTCGATTAAAAAAAAAGGTCAAAAAGAAAGTTGGGTTGCGCCATATATATGAAAGAGTATACAATAATGATGTATTTGACGAATCAAATACCATGGTCTAATAATGAAGCATTCTAATTAGTTGATAATATTAGTATTTGTTGATAATTTTGAGCTTGAATACCACTTGTAAATAATCCAAGAAACATGACAGGTATGGGAAGTACTGAAGGTACTAAAAAAACAGGAATAACAATTACTAATTCATCAGCTAATATATTTCCGAAAAGTCGAAAACTAAGTAATAACGGTTTTGTGAAATCTTCTAAGATGTTAATGGGTAAAAAGATTGGAGTTGGTTGAATGTATTTTCCAAAATAACCTAATCCTTTTTTGGTAAAACTTGCATAGAAATATAATAGATTTTCAGGTACTTGGCATGTAATACTATCACAATAAAAAGTGCATTTATTCTCTTTTAACTTGGTAATTATTATTAAGGGACTGCTTGTTTTATGATGGAGAAATTCCTATATCTAATTAGATGGATAAGTTAGGTGTTGGGAGTAAAAAGCTTCACGTACATGTCTAGTTTATTGAATTAAATTATTATCAGAGTTATCCGTACAATAATGCGATTAATTGAGGTCATGCCAGGTCTGCACTCTAAAGATGTTTGATACCAATTCAATGATACATTTGCCAAAGTCATGCTTATAAAATGTCATAATTTTAAATAGAAATGAGGAGACAGAAAATGTCTCAAGATAGAGTATTCATAGAAAGAGAAATAATTAAATAAGAGTATTATAGATATTATATATAGAAATGAGGGAGTAGTCTTGGTATTAAAAAATATGAGAAGCCTTTATTTGGCGTCAGAAGTCCTTATTTGCTCATATTATAGGAGTAAAATTTGAACATGAGAAGTGTTATTTACACATTTTAAAAATTACAAATTTTTTTTTTTTTTTTTTACCCTTTTACCTTTATAAAATTTGTACACAAACAAGATAGTCTTGATATTATTATTTAGTAAATGATAGTTGTACTACTGCAACTTTGGCTAACTCATTGTCATCTTATGTTTTCAACACCTTTGAAATTGAAAACACACCCAAATGGGTAAGAATCGGAACCAGTCTTCTCTTGGTGGACTGGGCATTAAAGCCGAGCGTTCAAGAGTATTTGGTTTCACTGTCACTAGCTTTCAACGGTATTGATTTCACTGTGAGCATCCCTCTAAGGGCAAACTAACTTGTTTTATTAACTTAAATTCAATGTATGTGGATCTGTAAATTCGGCTGACAAGGTTGGGTCGTTTTGGCACAAGGAACCATATTCTCCCTATACACATTTGGTCATTTACTATTCCATCCAATTAAATCGAAAATGTAACAACATCAAAAAGACACAATAACAATAATATGGTGTTGGATTACTGATTTAATGGTATTATAACATTGTAACTCGATATAATATGTTGCATGAATGTTACAAAATGTAATACGTGACTTACTTCTAGTGTAATATGTTGCATTCTCGATTTAAAAGATATTGAATCTTTCATCATCACAGCGGTAAAGACCTATAAATCATGAAGATAAAATGTTACTTGTCTAAAAAGTGCTGTAACTTTTTTTTCTTTCTTCGAGCACGTGTATCGATCCCACAACACAAATACTATTTAAGTCAAGAATGTGGTTCAAAAGCGAGATTTGGATGATTAACTTCTCTTATCTTGATCAACGCTGCTATACTCCCGAGAACAAAAAGTGCCGAAACGTATTTGACCCTAAAACTGTGAAGCTAATTGCTCGGGGAATAAAAAGAAATAGATATAAAAAAGCATTCTCTCCAAAAAGTTTCCTCTGGAGACCGATATGGAGGAGGTCCAACTTCCAGTCCTAACTTTATAAATATACAAAGTTCTATTCTTTCATAAATGCAAAATTAATGAAATCTGATCGTCTCATTTTCAAATTCTTTTCAATTCTTTATCCAAATTTTGACAGCATAATTTTGTGACTCTTTATAATTTTGATTGTATTCACCAAATTTAAATGGAATTTAGGAAAAAATTAATTAATATCCAGACAAAAGTATTAATATATACATTAAAAAAAAAAAAAAAAAACATCTTCCTAATTCTAAGTCCAAGAATTTCAGTGAATATTTCAAACTTATAGTTATAACTGAATTTTAAAGGACAGTTGAGGATAATAAGGATGGTAGGTTTATCTCTTGGTTTATTATTTTTTTGCATGTTTAATAAAATGATAAAAAAGAAAATAGTTCAAAAACTATAATATAGAATATATTATTATATTATAAAAAATAAATTAAGAGCATTTCTTAAAAAAAAAAATGAATAAAATAAAAAAGGATATCAAAACTTTCCCAAAAAAGAAAATTTAAAATTTAAAAAGGATTAAATGAATATTTCTAAAATAAACAACACTGAAAAATAAATAAGCAAGGACAGAATCAGTATCACAATTCCTAGCTTTTTCAACTCTCTCTCTCTCTCTCTCTGCACTTTATTAATCGTTTTGTTACATAATTTGCTAGATAAATTGTTTCACAATTTATGTCAGACTTTAGGCAATTTTCTAAAGATTCTCTCTCTAACTTGACCAATATGTTGGTCAATAAATTCGAGCAGAGATGAGTTTCTTCAGAGGACTTGTCGACTCATTGGGCTCGGTGTTCTCCAATTCGTCTTCTTCCTACGATTCTCAGCAAAACCCTAATTCTTCCGGTAATCGAACAATGGATGACGTCGCTGGGAATTCAGTTTCTAACGAAAGGGTTGCATACAAGCTCAAAGGGTACTTCGATTTGGCCAAAGACGAGATCGCGAAGGCCGTTAGGGCTGAAGAATGGGTTTTGGTTGATGATGCGATTGTGCATTACCAGAACGCTCAACGCATATTGATCGAGGCCAGCTCCACCACTGTACCTTCATACATCAGCTCTAGGTACGGTTAATTTACATTATTGATCCTTATATTTGATTTAATAGGCCTTCTGGCCTTAGGCAATTTTTGTTGTTGTTGATCCTTATATTTGATATAATAGGCTTGGTAATCAGTTTTCAGTAAGGCTGGGAATCATAAATTGGGATGCATCCTCTATCAAACTTTGAATCAATAGATGTTTACTTGTTGATTTGGTGAAGATGATATTCAATCTCTTAGAGAAACGTGGAATTGAAGCTTGATTGCAAACTTTTTCGAGCTAATTTACATTATGTCTAAACATTTAGAGACAGAACTTTGCAGCAGCTGCTGCCACATTCTTGAACTTAGTGCAAGGTACTCCAAGTTAATTATTATTTGAAGTATTGGATTTTACAATTGAACTTCATAATTAATTGTCATCTAGCACCCAATGCAGTTGGACTAGAATACCAACTTTCAAATCCTAGTACCCTTTTCATTATACTCGAGTAACAAAGCCTTCTTAGTTATATGCAGAAGCTTACTCTCTCTTTATACCATTGTAATATTCCATTATGTTCATCATACAAGTATCTAAATCTTTCTTTAGCTCGAGAAGAAATTTTGCATCCGTTTTTTACAAGCTCACTAGTACAAAGTTACATAATGACTTGTTATAATAATTGCCCGGTTATCCATTATGAAGGTAATATAAATTCTAGGAGATCTGGGCATCCCCACAAAACAGCTCCGGTCATGTGAAGCCGTCACATTGTGGGGAAATTGATCCAATGACCAATGGTTAAACCCATGCCAGCTCTGCGTAATTTGGTGTAAGCCGTCTTAATCAATCTCCCTTTCTCACATTCTGCGATTGATCATATTGCCTAACAGAGTTGCTAATTGCGAGGGAAAGTTTTTGTTGGGAAGTGTTTATTTAATGGTTCATTTCTTTATTTATTTATTTTGACTAATTTTTCATTCTCTCTCACATCCACACTAGTCTGTAACTTAGCATTTTGGTATCATTTTTATTTTTTATTTTTTATTTTTTGGAAATTAGCATGGTGGCATCTTCAATGAAACTAAAATGCTAAAAAAAAATAACTAGGATTGATCTTTCTGCCAGTTTTGTTATAAGAAGCTTGAAAAGAGCCCCTGGTGATGAAATTGTTTTCCCGTTAAAAATTGTAATGATCAGCAATATGGAGTTGGGAAATCTTGGTTGAAATTTAGTTCTCTTTTACATATGATTAACCTTTCAAGCAATGATGCTGTCTTTTTTTTCCTACCAAATGGTGCATGAACATAGTCTTCTTGTAACCTTTCAAGCAATGATGCTGTCTTTTTTTTCCTACCAAATGGTGCATGAACATAGTCTTCTTGTAACTTCCTGCGGCAACTAAATGTTTTTTTTGCCCCTTTTTTTCAGTGAAAGAGAGAAGGTGAAATCTTATCGTCAAAAGATATCAAAATGGCAGGGCCAAGTTTCAGAGAGACTTGAAACTTTAAGTCGGCGAACAGGTTTATATCTGATCATCTTGCCACTTAATTTCCATAATTATTTTTCTGTGTGGGTTAGAGGAGACTGCTTATATATTCTTTGTTCCTTCTTTTTCCTCCCTCCAGGTGGCATGCCGATAAACAAGGTATGGAGACTAAGTAAGTGAGTGGAATATTATTTTCTTTTATAAAGACTATGCATCACTGATTAGCTGATGCAATCAGTTCTAATTTATCACAGTATATTTTTCCTTAACTCTAGAGATAGTAATAGACCTTATATAATTTGATGTAAAATAGTATATTGATTTATAGAGACATGACCCAGAAATTTTGGCATCCTTCGCTTCCATGATGGAAAGATAGTCATTTGATAATTAGCTGTGTTTATTATCATCAAGTATCCTCTATTTTTGACGTTTTTGGTGGACCTTTTTCATTTAACTTAAATTACATATTTCTTGCCACATAAGGAAGAGTTTATAAATTTTCAATGGGAAACCTTGAATGCTTATCCTTATGTTAATCTTAGTTGCTTAGAGGAGCATACTGGAGCTTAAGTCATTTTTGTTTCCTCAGCAAGTCCAATATTGTTATTGAAAACAAATGCTTTAATATGTTTTGCTGATGAAAGTGCAGATAAGTGTGACAAGACCAAATTTCTCATAAAACATGAAGATGACCTTAATATTGTGTATTTTATTGTGTGAACCTACCAGTTCCTGACATGCAAGTGTGCGTTTAATTTTTTTTAATATCTAATTTCTGATTAGCACTCATATAATATTCTTTTGTTAAGTGATAGTCATCTTTGGAGACTTCTTCAAACACTTGTTATGGATACCGGAACATATAAGTGTATCATGCTCGTTGAAGGAATCCGCACTGTGGAGCTATCTTCATGGACTGATATTTATGAGTTTTTTTAGGAATTGCTCACAGTATCTTGTTAAGTTAAATTAATCCGAATTTTAGATTCTACAGTCTGAAATGCATGGAATTAGCCACATTTTCCCTTGAATTGAAAATCATATATGATTTGACAGGCATTGTTGCATCAGATAAACTTACAGGGACTTTTCCTACCTTTTTCTCCCCTTGTAGTTTTTTTTTTTAAGCTAATAATGTGATGTAGGACCAAAATGCTCCTATTCTAAACTGATGAAGAACGTAATGAGACCAGAAAGAAAACAGGGGATGAGGAGATAGATGGTGATGATGCAGGGTTAGAAGAAGAGGCGAGAAGACAGACGAAGGGAGTGAGAAAAGAGAATAAATAAATAGGCTAACAGACACAGGCATTGAGGAAATCCAAGAACAAAGGTGATGAAGAATGGAAAAAGAAATCTGAAAATCACAATAATCAATATTCCCAAAATATATATATATATATATATATATATATATATATTATGTTATGTGCAGCTTTTTATAGGCAAACCATGAAAAGAAAATACCCAATAAATACTAAAATAACCCTAAGAAAATGTCCCTAAGCCTACGGCTGATGTAGGTGCGGAACTCCTCACGGTGTCCATCATAATCTTGTCTCGATATTGTTTGTTTGTTTGTTTTGTTATTTTTTCTTTTTTCTTTTAAGGGTTTCTTTAGTGTTTCTTCATATTCTTGGGCAGTATAGCATTGATTGATTCATGTAAACTGCATTCTTTGCAGAACACAACTCAGACTGCCGCAGTTCCATCAAATGTGTCTAACTCTAGAAAAGATGCATTACAGAAGGCTTCTAGTTCTCGTAGTTCTGGTTCAGTTGCAAGGAATCAGACTAACAAAGTCGTAAGCTCGAAACCTGTGCAAGAATCTGGTACTGGTTATGATGCAAAATTGGAGGAAATGATAAACTCTGTGATCGTGGACAGAAGTCCTTCTGTTAAATGGGAAGATATTGGTTAGAAACTACAAAAATGCTTTCTTTTGTATATTATTACAGTTCCTTTCATTTGCCATTTTTCACTTAAAAAAAGCTACAATTTACTGGTCATAATTTGTTTGCAGCTGGCCTTGAAAAAGCAAAACAAGCTTTACTGGAAATGGTAATCCTTCCAACTAAAAGAAAAGACCTGTTTACCGGCCTTCGAAAACCAGCTAGAGGTAATGTCCTGGAAAATGTTATTTTCGAAGAGCTTTGTTTTTATTGTATTAGACCTTTATTCGTGAAAAGACTCCTGGATTTTATGTTTCAGGTTTGCTTCTTTTTGGTCCACCTGGCACTGGGAAGACTATGCTTGCCAAAGCAGTCGCCTCAGAGTCAGAGGCTACATTTTTTAACGTTTCTGCTTCTTCCCTAACGTCAAAATGGGTACATCTCTGTCAAATGTCTTCCTTATCAAATTTATGCTGGTAAAGGTTTTCATTTTCTTATGTCCCTTGACAATTGCAATTCTTATCAGTTTCGCCTTTACTAAATAGGTGGGGGAGGGTGAGAAACTTGTCCGGACTCTCTTCACGATTGCTATATCAAGGCAGCCATCTGTAATTTTCATGGATGAAGTACGCTATTCTCTCTTCAAACATTATTGTGATGTTTTTTTCTTGAAGACCGTTCTTTTCCTGCCTGATGTGTTAGTGACTTAGTTCTGCCTTTCTGTATGCTACTGCTTGCATGTAAAAGTAGCTCGCCTTTTTGACAAAGAAAGAATGAGCACATGGTCTGAGAATTTTGATTTTGTGCCATTATTACCACAATTAAAATTTGAAGGCTTACACCGGTTCTTCATCTGTATTTGATTGTGTGGAGAACCTAGAAGTTAAAAATTCTGTAATAAAATATCTTGTCTGACAACTTTTTGAGGATGTATGATGTTTAATTGTTCTGATGTTATCATATCACATACTTCTCTCAGCTTAAGAAACGAGGAGTTTTATGATCCAAAATGGAATTTTATAGTATTTTGCTATTAGATATAATTTGATAGCAATTTCTCAAGCTTACTTCCATGAAGGGACTGGTTAACTAATGCTGAGAAATAGATAAGCTGTATAGTTAGAACCCTTTCAGAAGTAGAATTTTAATAGCAGGAGCTATGGTTAAAATTTAATGGGAAGGAATTGCTTGGTTGCACACTTGTGCTTATGGAACATTAAAATTTAATATTGTACAATTTTTATTAGGTTTATCACATTTTTTTAACAGGCAAAAAGGTGTCTAGATGTGGGTGTAAACATATTGAGTGCCAGAGACTGCCAGAGAGCAGTTTCAAAAGGAAACCTAGAGGCCCAACTCAACTTTGGAATATGTTCATTGGGAGAGAAGTTGGTCCTTTTTTTTTTTTTTTTTTTTTTCTGGCAAACTAGAGGGAGGGGGGACTTGAACACGGGCACACCCGCTCAGGGAGATGGGCACTCTACCGACTAGGCCACTGTGTAATGCCCGAGAAGTATGTCCTAAATCCATGTAGTTGTAATATCAAAATGAAACTGAAAAGGGTCTAAAAGATTCTATATTGCAAGTTGATTATTTTGAAGTCTATAGATACTTTCATAATATCATCTTACTTGAGTGTGTATAATTTTGTATTAAAATTATCAGTTGCAAATTTATGGTACATATATAGACACAGAGACATGGTTTAGGTCAGTTCCATACTTTACAGGGAAGTGCTCTTAAGATTGGATGTTTTCAACTCTAAGGGTCCGTTTGGCATGCGCTTTGTTATAGGCGTTTTGTTTTTGGCTAAAACAGAAACAATGTTTTTGTTGTAGGAGTGTTTTGTAAAAAAATCAAAAGCACGTTTGGGAACGATGTTTTGCTGTGAAAATGTTGAAAACAGAAACATGCAAAACCCGTTTAGTCAGTACAACTGTTGCCAAAAATAAAAATTAAAACTGAAAGTGAAAAAAAAAAAAAAAAAAAAGGTCAGCCTTATCCCCATCGCGATCTTCGTGTTCCTCGTCATCTGAGGTGAAATGATCGGCGGCGGCGGTGGAGGGAGGGGATTGGCGGCGGATTTTGATGAGGCGTTCGAGAGCTTGGTCGATGCTGCGCTTGTGGATGTAGAAGGCGGAGACCGCCATTACCAACGCTCTGAACAAGGCCGCCAACGCGAGATGGATAGACGATACTGGTTGAAAGGAAGAAGATGAAGACTCCATTGTTCTGGGTTTGGTTTGGTTTGTGCTGTGTTTGGGTTTTGTGGAGTTATTATACTGGTTTGGTTTTGTGTGATCTGGGTTTGGTTTGAACTGGTTGAAAGGAAGAAGATGAAGACGATACTGGTTTGGTTTTGTGTGATCTGTGTTGTATGTGTTTCAAGTTTGAATCCAACAAATCCAAGCTTCGATAGCTGTTGTATTTGATCAAATCCAGCAAATTGAGGGCTTAACTTGGATCAGTGGTGATGAATTTTCTGAAATCGCCCTTGAATCGCAAAGAGAGTATTGGGAGAAGAGAGAGAAAATTTGCCCAAAATGACCTAAAATGTTTGTATACCTGAAGCAAGTATGTTTTAAGTTAGGCCGGCTGTTTCCTTCGTTGCAGTGAATTTTATAGGCAAACAGTGCTGAAACAAGATAAAACACCATCTTGGTGTTTCAAGTTTTAGGCCATTTTATTGAAATGTTTTACAACTGTGCAAAACAAAACATAACCAACTGTTGGCACCAAAACTTGGCAGCCACCTCAGCAGCGACGTGGACCAATGGGAAGCCGATAAGGGTTGAGCATGTCCAAGAATGGATCGGCCAGTTTTGAAGATATTAGGAGCAAATATAGAAAGATATATTTCAGCCACCTAATGATATGGCAGTTGCTAAAATATAGCAACTCATATTTGACTTTTTTTTAAAATGGGATGTTAACAGAAAAGGAAAAGGTTAGAGTTTGGATGAAACTCAATAACTAAATTCCTATAAAATAGGAAGTTTAGTTTGATGAAAGAAGGAAAGCTTTGAAGACATGTATAGAAGATTGGCAGCATGAAGTGAACAAATCTAATTGTGACAAGTGGCCTTGACATGGCGCTAAAAGATGGGCCACTTGGGATAGAACACGGCTGCCAAGTTTATAAAAGGAAGTTGCTAGAACTTAGCAACTTTTCAGCAACTTTCTAGCAACGTTTTAGCAATATCTCGGCAACTTATATGTGACTAAATCAAGGAAGTTGGTTTCAGCAAGGATTTCCTACTAAGGCAAGCCATGAAGATAAGGAGAAATATATTGAGTTTTGACTTAGTTTGATTCACGAAGAGAAGAAAATCAAGGAATGAGAGATTTTCTAGCAAAAAGTTAGGAAAATAAGTTGAGAAAGAATTTTATAAATAGGAAAGTTGTAATCGTATTCCAATTCGTCCAGCACCACCACAAAACATGCATTTCAACTAAAAATGTTTTCAATTGACTCTACGTCATTTTTTCCTATCAATTTCTTTATTTCAATTTAATGGCAATTGATTAGATCATTGTCAACTATTTCAATTCAGCCATTTACTTTCTTTCAATTTCAATTTCAATTATGCCAATTTTAATTACGCAATTTTAGTTAGGCTTTCAATTCAATGGCAATTGATTAAATTCTTGCCATTGAATCGTAGTGACAATTGATTAAATTCTTGTCATTACTTGGCTGATGGCAATTGATTAAATTCTTGCTATCACGTTTCAGTGGCGATCGATTAAATTCTTGCCATTGTGTTTGGCTGATGGCGATTGATTAAGTTCTCGCCATCACGTTCGGCCGGCGATTGATTAAGTTCTTGCCGCCTGTCTTCACTCGGCCATTCCATCCATTCAAACATTCATCAGCCGTTGCATTTCTTTAGACACTCTAAAAAGTCCTTGCTACAAACAAGGCATAAAAGAACCTTGCTGGGAGTTCTTACTAGTCTCTCTCCCACACAATCGCCTGAGAGTCAGCCATCGGAAAAAGGGATAGGCTGGTGTTCAATTACATATTTTGGGTATTTTGTACAAATACTCTGGCACGCCCGCGAAGAGTCCATCGACCGGCGTAGGGAACAAAAACCGCGCGAACACGTTTTGGCACGCCCGGTGGGACTACTACTAGAGTGTTATAAAAGAGGCAAATATGCCGCGGCTCACAAAAAATTCTAAGGCCGTGGCTACTGATGAAGATTTGGAGGAAGGCGATCAGCCAGTACAGGCTGAGAACTCTGCAGCAGGTCCTACTGATGAGTTAGCCGTTCTTCAAGCACAGGTTAGCTCCTTGGTAGATGCAATGGGAAGGATGGGAGCACGCTACAACGACTTGCATGAAAATATGTACCAACTCTCAGCCTTTATTTTGAACAAGCCGACTCAAGCTAGCAGCTCCAACAATCAGGAATCGGCTTCTCAGCCGAATCTATCACAAGCTGCTCGGCCAGAGAGGGCCATTGAATCATCACAGCCATGGCCGCCAGTAGTGACACTCCAACCAGGTACAACATCAAGTCAGCCGGTTCATACGCTACTCACCTGGACAGAAAGCTATCATCAGCCTACGTTGGCAGGTTCTAATCAGCCACCAGTAGTAGGTTCGCAGCCACAGGTAATTCTACCAAACCCTGCTCGGATGCCTTTGAACTCGGGGGGCAATCAGATCAGGTGGAGGCCACCGAACCCACTGTATACTCATGTGCCGCCATAGGTAGGGCTCGGGGGGCAGAATATGGCTAATCAGCCACATGATTGGCCGAATTGCTATCAACCAGCGGCTAATCAGCCGCCAGTTTTTAATCAGGTACCACCAATATTAAATCAGCCACCTCAAGTCATGTTAGATAGAAGACAATTAGCTGATTTACTCACAGAAGAATATGGCCTGGAACTTAGAGGTGCCGGCCGACCAATTTATAGAACTCCTTATCCAGAAGTGGTAGATCAAGTTGAGTTCCCTAGAGGATATAAAGCCCCTGACTTTGTAACCTTTAGTGGAGAGGGAAATCAATCGACCGTGGAACACATTGGCCGATTCACGGTTCAATGTGGAGAGGCCAGTGTTAGCCCGTGGTTGAAATTGAGACTTTTTCCTAACTCTTTGACAGGGGCAGCTTTTTCATGGTATATTCGTCTACCTCCTAACTCTGTTTTTAATTGGCCACAGATGGAGGAATTATTCCACAATCAGTTCTACCGTACGGAGACAGAACCTACTCTGGCCGATTTATCCAGGCTAAGTCAATTGCCTAGTGAATCGGTCGAGACATTCATTGCAAGATTCAGGAGAGCAAGATTAAGATGTCGTGTACCTCTTCCAGAACAGGAGTACATTCGTTTGGCTTTGAACGGCCTTGATTTTGAACTTCGGAAGAGGTTTGAAGGAGTTCCATTTCGTGACATGTATGACCTGGCCGAGAAAGCTACCAGATATGAGTTGGTTCTCAAAGAGGAGAAAGAACGAAAAAATTCCTCTAAAGGTACGTACTATAGGGACCCCAACTATGAAGTTTATTCAACTGATGTGGTTGAAGAGGAAGATTTTGAAGCTAATTTAGCCGAAGTCATTCTAAAGAAACCTTATGTATGTGACGCTTTAACAAAACCAAATGTATCC